CCTGGCGCCCAGCTTTGTTTCACTTTCGCTGTCAGCCGCTGCCACCCGACTCCCGCCGTCCGCAGGACCCGGGAGAGCGTGCTTGTGCGGGCGGGGACCCCCACCCCCGGGACAGGGAGGTGCCCGGGGCCGTCACCTACGCACGGGTGGGACCTCGGGGGTGCGCTAAGCCCTAAAAGAGGGATCCCCAAGGGGCTGGGTGCCCAGGTGCCAAGACACGCACTCGCAGCTCCGGATGGAGTCAGCTTTGCCCCTTACAAGCTGTGTGATAGTGATCATGGATAAGCCACTTAACCACCTTACCTATGTCTCCGTTTTGTATCTGCAAAATGGGATCATAGCAGTACCCGCCTCAGTGGGTGGTTAGGAACTTCCCAAACTTGCCTATTCGTTAAGAATGGGGTCTGGGGTCCATGTTAAAACAACGTATTCCGAGCCTCTCCCCTCCCCGGAGACTAATTCAGCGGAGGTAGGGTGGGGCTGAGGATGCTGATCCCTGGTGACATGTATGATAAGGCAAGTTCAGGATACACGGCTGGGTGACATACTTGCCCCTATCCTCGTTAAGCCACAGTCACCATGAGAAAATTGTGGAAGTCAGAATATCGGATTTACTTCGTTAGCCCTAATGAACATACTATACAATCTCAGTGGGAAAGGTGTGCTTGTTATGTAAAGGCAAAAAACCTCGAGACATCCCTGGGGCTTCTGCCTTTCAACTACCTTGCCCTTGAACCCCACCTATACAGAAATTTGGAATGGATTTAGGATTTATAACGGAAGTCCTAATTCCTGAAAGTACCCAAGTTTTAAAGGCAGTTTCCTTAGGGGGAAATTCTCAGAAGGGGTCAAGGCCTGGGGCTCAGCATTTATTTCAAAACCTCTTTGTATTCTCGCAGTGAAGTTCAAGCTTCATCTTGGTCTGGAGGATTCTGATTGCTGATTGTTGCTGGGGGTGGTAGATTGAAATCAGGGTATTCCCTGGGGTGGTGTTACTTTTTAATTTAGGAAATGACATTTCTTTGTTTGCTGAAATCAGGCATTCAGTAAAAGGCAGCTCTCCTTCCAATCTAGATAAGGGCTTTCTTTTCTGTGAGTGTGTTACCCACAGAATTCTTTTTAATGGCCCCTACTGTTTGCGTGAACCTCTGTGAATCTTTTTATAGCTTCCGCTGTCACTTCCATTGACTCCTTATAGTTAAATCTGAAAGCAGTCTAGCTAGCCTCCCTTTTTAAGAGGAATCTGTTTCCAGTTCTAGGTTTTTCCTACTGATTGACGACTGTGTTTGGGGAATGTGGGCAGAGCTGTTGAGAGCTGCCAAGCTACTGTAAAAAAAAGAAAAGAAAAGAAAAAGGCCAGAGAGTTTTAGGATCTTTTCAAACTGAATAAAGCCCATTGTAAAGAGATTACAATGGGCAATAGTAGAAATCTTCAGAGCAGTGGTTAGAATTCATTTATGCATTCAACAAATATTTATTGAGGAAAAGAAAAGAAAAAGGCCAGAGAGTTTTAGGATCTTTTCAAACTGAATAAAGCCCATTGTAAAGAGATTACAATGGGCAGTAGTAGAAATCTTCAGAGCAGTGGTTAGAATTCATTTATGCATTCAACAAATATTTATTGAGGGTCTGCTATGTCTCATGAACCTCTAGGTCAGCCCTAGCTAATAGAAATACAGTACAAGCCACATGTGTAACTTAAAATGTTCTAGTAGCTACATTAAAAAAAGAAAGATACAGGCGAAATTAATTTTAAAACTATGTCTTTTTCAATCTAGCATATTTAAAATATAATTTCAGCATGTCATCACTTAAAAAATATTGAGATATTTTAGATTCTCTTTTGTACTAAATCTTTGAAATCCAGTGTGTATTTTATACTTAGCCCATCTCAGTTTGGCAACATTTTAAGTGGTCACTAACCACGTGTGGCTAGTGATTACCATATTGGCTAGTGCAGTCCAATAGCAGTGAACAGATAGGCGAGTTTGGGTGGGTTGGGGAAGAGATAGACAATGAATACATAACAAATAAGCAATGAAGAAAATATCTGTGAATGATAGTTATAAAGAAAATTAAATGGTTAAAGGAAGATGACTGGGCCACTTTAGATAGTCAGGCTAGGAAGGTCTAGGAGAAGGTGACATGAGCAAGGAGCATCAAGTGCTGAGTGTTAAGGAGGGGCAGTCAGGCAGAATGCTTTCCAGGCCGACGGAAACAGCTAATGTAAAAGTCCTGAGGCAGTAGAAATTACTGATCTTCCGCCTCTGTGTTAAGACTCACAGCCTTGCCTAGAGAGGCTCATAATCAGTATCTTTCCATTCAGCCTGATTGTCCAAACACATCCCATTGTTTAATTAGAAAACACTGCTGAGGTGGTAGGGGGATTGGGGAGATGTTGGTCAGAGGTTAGAAAATTTCAGGTAGACAGGAGGAATAAGTTCAAAAGAGCTGTTGTACAGAATGGTGACTGTAGTTAATAAATAACAATATATTGTGTGCTTGAAAATTGCTGAGAGTAGATTTTAAGTGTTCTCATTACAAAAAAAATGATAAGCATGTGAGGTAATGCATATGTTAATTAGCTCATTGAGCCATTCCACAATGTATACATATTTCAAACATGTTGTACACCATAAATGTATACAATTTTGGTCAATTGAATTAAAAATAGAAAGCCCTGATTCATTGGCCTTTTCTCCAGGAAGGGCCACTGCAGGTATAATCCCAGATGAAGCTGGATCCTCTCAGCTCTTTTGTTTTGTTTTTAAGTTCTGTGCTAATTATGGCTTCTTTTCCAGCAGCCAAGTTTAGTTTGGGCCCAGACTTGAAGAGACAGGAGTCACTGGGTTCTTTTCTTCTTTTAGCTTCTAGATTCCTGAACCTGAAATAGCCAGAAATTAAATCCCTAAATTACAGAAATAGAGTATGAATTCTGGGTATGGCTCCTCTTTCAGAAGCATTTCATATGAAATGTTTGGCATAATCATTACAGTAGTTTAAGGGGCTTCATTTTGTTCATATTTAAGGAGGTGTAACATGTATATTTGTTTAACAAATATTTACTGACTGCCTGCTCTCTCTCTGCCAGGAACTCTGCTAGCATTGGGGATTAACATACCAAGGACCCTGTGCCTATGAAATTGACCTACTGGGAGGAGGGGGACAGATAATAATCAAATGGTGATGAGTGCTGTAAAAAAAATAAAGTGAGGAGTTATGAAGGAGATTGACTAGGGGTCAGAGAAGAGCTCTTTAAGGTGTAGTCATTTGAGCCAGATCTGGATGAAGAGAGGGTGCCAGCCAGGGAGAGGCATTCCAAGTAAAGGGAAATAGCTGGTGCAAAGGCTCTGAGGTCAGCACTAATTGAGCATAGTCAAGAAATGGAGAGAAGGCCAGTGCTGGAGCTAGGGGCAGGGAGAGGTGAAGTATAAGCCCAGGTGGGAGACAAGGCAGGGGCCAGGTAATACAGGACTTCAAGAGCAGGGTGAGGAGCCTGGGTTTTATTTTAAGAGTGATCGAAACTGATCACTCTGGGAGGTGAGGAGAATGGATGGTGAGGGGCCAGAGCAGAAGCAAAGAAGGCAGGTGGAAGGCTGCCTAATGGGCCAGGAGAGAGATACTGTTGCATGGACTAGAATAGTAGCCTCGGAGATGGAAAGAGGTTAGATCTGGCAAGACCTTTGGAAACAGACTTGATAGAACTTGCTAATGGGTTTGGTTTGGGAGGTAAAGAAAAGGGAAATCAAGGGTGACCTCTTTTATATTGTGCAGAGCCCCCATGGTGTCAAAAGGATGGTGATGTTGTGGAGGAAGTGAACCAAGTGTGATAACAGTATCAGGATAGAATAAAGAAATTTTCATCCAGGTCAGTTGTAAATATTCCTCCAGATTAGTCAGTGTCGTTTAATACTTGACTAGGACTGGGTTTCTCAGCCTCAGCAGTGTTGAAATTTTGGGCCAGATGATTCTTCGTGGGTGGGGGGCTGTTCTTTGCACTACAGGATGTTGAGTACCATTCCTGGCCTCTACCTACTAGATGACAGTGGCATGCCACCCCCCACCAAGATGTGACAACCAGAGATATTTCCAGATATTGCCACATGTCCTCAGGGTTCTTAAAGTTAAGAACCCCTGGGCTGCATGAGTAAGACATTAACAGATTAGGGCTGATGTCGCCATAGGAAAATATCTAGAAATAATGAGATTAAAGAAAATGTTGAGGGATTGCTGCATGATATTGAGAGGCCTGTTTTGGATTTAAGATATAAAATGACTTTTTACCGTGCGAATGTTCATGTCTATAGGAGTGTGTTCATACAGACATGTGATTGTGTAAATGAAACACAGATTTCTAGGAGGTCAATACAAATGCCTATTTAGACAGACCTAGTATACTAAAACCTAGATTTATACATAGAACGTCCAGGAAGGGATATTTACAAAGGTTTGATATGACTTATTAAAATTCTATTTAAAGAGAATTTTCAGAAACACTTATTTTATAAGCACTACGCTGTAATCAACTGAACTAACCAGCCAGCTGTCCACACCTATTTTATAAAACAAAGAGTCACCTATGTATTTTCATACAATGCACATACAAGGAAATATATGTATATGTACCTCTTCACCATCTATTTCATTAAATCCGAGATACCATAGATGTATTACCACTATGTATCACTGAGAAAAAATCCTGCCTGTTTAACTATGAAAAGTCATTGATTGTAAGATACATCCTGATTTCAGTGAGGTCAAATTGTAAGAAGACATATAAAGATGTGTCTTAAAATATGTGAAATTTGGGTTTTTGAAATTAGGGTTTGTCTGGTAGCAGCCATAAAAGGGTCAAATCTGGAACTACTGAAGTGAAACATATACATCAGGAAGTGACCTCATTCAGGATGAAAGCCAGTTTTTATATTAGTATATATCACAATCATAGTGATCAAAAATCTTCTGAAGGTCTTCGACTTACGAGCTTCGTCAGCCATTAAGAATCTTTCATCAGACTAGAGAATTAAACTAAGAACTGCGGTTTAGTCTATGAAGAAGCAGTGATCTAGTGCCAACTCTTTCAAAAGATGCTGTGCTAGGCCCTGGGAGAAACAAAGATGAAATCATCTTGGTGTTGGAAGAAGAGTGCTTAAATGTTGGTAATGGGGGGCCAGAGGGAAACTAGTTACAACAGGAGAGAATGAAATAAACAGAGTGGGACTTATTACCGCTTTGATGGTGTAAGATTAGAGTATGCTTCTCAGTTGTGAACCTAGGTGGGATTCTCATAAGCAGAAAATGAGTCCAGATGTGAATGTGAATGAGCTACTCTGGGGCATGTCAAAGAGGCTTGTGTGGCTGGAGTGTGGTGTACAGGGAGGTGTGTGGAAAGGAGGCTGACCAGTGGGCTGGGGGTGGAAGGCCTGGGCTCAGTTACTTATAATGTAGGCAGGTGTGAGCCTTGGAATATATTTGAAAGATGTGATGTGATTTATGTTTCAGCTTTAGCAGAGTCGCCAGGGGCCAGGAAAAGGAATCAGGAGACTCTTGCAAAAGAGATAGGCAAGATGAGATGAAGGTTTAAACCAGGACAGAGAGGAGATGGAAGCTGAGAGATGGGGGACACCAAATCAATAGGTCTGAGCAAGAGGAAGCTGGCAAAGGTGGAACATTTTTAGCTCTGATGATGGGAAGGCTGCTGGTGAGTGAGGGAGCCTTGAGTTTCAGATATTCCTTCTTTTACCTGTTTCCCAGCAGCAGGTCCTTTTGAAGACACCTTGAACACATTGAAAGGCCTGCTATTTGCACCATCTAGCATATTCCTGGCTTGGCTTTCACTTTCTTCCTCTCCAAGCATTCATAGGAAAATGAGGCTTCCACTCACTGGGTTCACCCGCACAAAGGTTACTCAAAGTCATGGTTAACCAGCAATGGGGAGTGCCAAGACTGAGTAACCACAGAGGAATGTGGCCTGTGGCTACTGATTGCCCCAGGTTATTTATATGGTAACTTTCTCGGGGAATCCTAAGTGTCATCCATTGCCATGGGGAGACAGTGGCTTTCCTGTGTCCGGGTGGCCTGTGAGTGAGAGTGCTGGTTTCAAACATGCTGTCTCCCTCCCCAGAGGAACCACTGCTGCTGGCTGAACTCAAGCCCGGCCGTCCCCACCAATTTGATTGGAAGTCGAGCTGTGAAACCTGGAGTGTCGCGTTCTCCCCAGATGGCTCCTGGTTCGCTTGGTCTCAAGGACACTGCATCGTCAAGCTGATCCCCTGGCCACTGGAGGAGCAGTTGTAAGTACTCTCACACTGGACCCCAAAGGAAAGAGGGAGGGAGTTTTTATGATCAGGAACATGGGCACTTTTCCAAGTTACTCTCCATTTTTTTGCAGTCTCCCTGCCTACGAACAGGAGAGAGCGAAAATGGCTAAACACTTCAGGAATTGCTCATAGGGGTTTCTAGAACCGCACATTCCATACATGTGAAAGTCGGTTCTAACAAGATTATCTTAGCTTCAAGTTGGTTTTTTTGTTTTTTGCTTTTTTTTTTTTGGTGGCTGGTGGTAAGAGGATCTAAACCCGTGACCTTATCAACACTTTGCTCTAACCAATATATTTCCTTTTATTGCCAAATAATATTGGATTGTATGGAGATACCACTTTTGTTTATACATTTATCAGTTATGGACATTTGGATTGTTTTCACTTTTGGCTATTACGAATAGTGCTGCTATGAACACTTACATACAAGTTTGTGTGTGGACATGTGTTTTCAGGTGTTTTCTATGTTTAACCATTTGAGGAAGTATTAGACTGTTTTCCAAAGTGGTGGCACCATTTTATATTCCCACCAGGAATGTATTCGGGCTCTACATTCTCACCAACACTTGCTATTGTCTGTCTTTTTGATTATAGCGTATCCATCCTGGAGGGTGTGAAGTGGTAGCTCCTAGTGGTTTTGATTTGCATTTCCCTCATGGCTGCTGATGTTGAGCATCTTTTCATGTGCTTACTTGGCCTTTGCATACATTCTTTGGGGAAATGTCTATTCAGATCCTTTGCCCATTTTTAAATTGGGTATTTGTCTTTTTATTATTGACCAAGTTTAGTTTCTGATGCTAAATAGTTTGTCTTCCTTTGGGATGGAGTGGTCCCAGTGTGGAATGCTGTGAGCTCCCAGGCAGATGGCTCAGCATCTGTATCTTTTCATTTGTCCCAGGGCATCTCTGTGTCTGCGTTTATTGAGGCAGCATTTGTTGCAGCTCTTTGACTGACCCTGAGCTAGGGGCTGAGAATCCTGAAATAAATTAAATAGGGCCCTGCTCTTGAGGGTCTCATTTGTTTTGCTTTAGGCATTTCTTATAAATAGCATATTCAATTTAAGGTTTTTGTAAGTTCAGTCTGAAATTTGTTTCCTTGTTAATAGGTAATGCTGACAAGAGTGTGCCAAGGTGGGTACTCTGCACACTACTGGGGTTGAGGGGTGTAAATTTGCACAGTTTCCGGAATGAAGGCTGTTTGGCAAAATGCATGAAGGACCTTAAAAATGTTCTTTCAGCTATTAGGAATCTCAAAAATGGGGTCACCTACTTATATACACTGACATGAAATTTATTGTATGGTAGTAATAAATCAGAAATAGCTTAAAATCCAATGAGGAGAGGCTGGTTAGGGAAACTGTGGCATTTCCATATGATATTTTTGCAGCCATCAAAGATTGTTGTATGTTTTTAATCATAGAAGGATTTTCATTTCCTTCTATGGTCAGTATAATGATAATGTGAAGTCATTCATTGTTTATTGATCCCTTACTCTAAATATAAGGACTCTCCTTCATATCTAGACTTGTGTCTGATATAATTTTATATTCTGAAAAAGTTTTTTTTTAACAAGCATAAAATGGAAAATCTGTTGTTTTCCTGAAAATCACTCTTATATTCAAATATATACATTACTAAAGGTAAATATACTCTTTTAGTATTAACTAAGGAAAATGTAAAAAGGTTATTTATTTATTTGTTTTTTGTTTTTTTAAAAATTTTTATTGAATTACAATTGATTATACAAATTTTGGGCGATCAACATTGAGATATGTTGATCAAATCAATATTACCAGTATATATATTGTTACAAATCGTAATTATTCTTTATGCGCCTTGTCCAATCTCTCTCCATCCCCCTCCCCCCTCTAATTACCCTGGATTTCTTCTCTCCTTCTGAAAGAATAATGGTTACTCTGTTGATTTGTTGCCTAGATGATCTGTCCAATGCTGAGAGGTGTGATCAGGTCCCCCAATATTATCATAGAGCAGATGCTTCTTCTGTCAATCTGAAATGGGCTTTGTGGAGAGGGACATCCTCTTCTTTTCTTTATCTCTGCTGATGACTCTCCTTGTGTCAATGCACTCCAGAGGCTGGCGGACCATCTGCATGGTGGTTCTGGCATCTAGCCACTTTCGTGGCAGCCACAGTTATAGTGGTGGCTGTGGTGGGCTACCCACATGGAGGTTATGTTTTTGGCATGCTCCTTTGTGCTGGTAGTGTGCCTGGTTGTGGGGAATGTCTGGTCCCTGGCTCCAAGCCTCAGGACCCTGGGCGAGCTATGAGGCGCTGGCGTGGTGTGCCTGGTTGTGGGGGCGGTTCTGGTCCCTGGCTCTATTCCTTGGGTCCCCGGGCAGGCCCCGAGGTGCTGGCATGGTGTGCCTGGTTGTGGGAGGGGGGTCCAGTCAGCTTCTCCATGCCTCGAGTCCCTGGGCAGGCCCCGAGGCGCTGGCATGGTGTGTCTGGTTGTGGGAGGGGGGTCTGGTCCCCTCTCCATGCCTCAGGTCCCCAGGTGGGGCCCCGAGGTGCTGGCGGTGTGCCTGGTTGTGACGGGGGTCCAGTCCACTTCTCCATGCCTGGGGTCCCAAGGCACTGGTGCAGTGTGCCTGGTTATGGGAGGGGGGGTCTGGTTCCCAGCTCCAAGCTTCGTTTCCCCAGGGTGGACCCCGAGGTGTGGGGGTGTGAGTGGTTGTGCGTGGGGTGGAAAAGGGTAATTTAGTATTAATCCTTTTTGTGTATCCGTTGTTTAATGTAATGAGATAAGTGTTATTGTTTAATAAGGTAAATGCGAAATTACTGGTTTTGGGGAGAAATCACACATTTTGAAGAATAATAACCTGGGGAAATGCTTACAGTATAAGGCTTGCTGAAAAAAGCAGATTATAAAACCATATATACAATATGACCCCAAATTTGTTTTTAGAAAACATATGTGTATACATGCAAGGAAAAATGTATAGTAAAATGTTCAGAATGGTATTAGGATTATGAGTAATTTTTACTTTATTATTTGACTTATTTCCAATTTTCAAGGTTTCTCTCTTGTTTTTATAATTTGAAATAATTGTTATTTTAAAAGTCCCTTAAAAAGGGCAATCTGGGGCATTTATACTCTTGTTAGGGTTTTTACGTATTTTTAAAAAATCATATTATGTAATGCTTTTGATATTGAGCAAATGATGTTAACCAAATAATTGTACTATTAGAAGTAAAGTTTTTAGAAACTTTCATTTCATTGAAGCTAAATTCTGCCAATGAATCTCCCTTACCCTTAGCAGCCCCATCCTAGGCTACCACCTCCCTACCTCCCAAGTAACTCTTCCCTTGATTCATCAGCAAAGTCAGAAATCCAGAGTATTTGTTGAGCACTAGACTAGGATATCCAAGACTTGAGTTCTAGTTCCAGTTCTGCCCCTGATTTTGTGACGCCAGTAAAGTTAATAACCCATAAAATGGAGATCTTAGTACCTCTTTTTAGAAAAATGAAATTTAGGACATTAAAATAAAATAATGTGTAAACGTGTCTTAATTCTTTTGGAATAAAGTAGCTATAGGTGTATCCCATAATTCAAATACAGAAATCAGAATTTTATAAAAAATAAAACAAACCTAACTTTGGAAGTTCTAAGCTGTCCTATACTTCTTTGGGTAGCCTGCCTTTTAAGTGCTTCTTCCTGTGATGGGAAACTTAGGTGTATAGTTTGCCAACCTCTGATTTAGATTAATAGAGTTTTAGAGCTAAAGGTTAGGCCAGGATCAGGCAGGTCTGGGCATTGTGTGGGTAGGTGGGAGTGGGGCCAAGGATTGGGCAGGCAGATTGAAATGAAATTCATGGTCACATTCAGATTGCCTCACCAGAATAGCAAATTTTCAGACATTTGTTTATTAAGATCAGGGGTCAGCAAACTCTTTCTATATACATGTCCAGATAGTAAATATTTTACGCTTTGCGGACTGTAAGGTCTCTGTTTTGATTACTTAACTCTGCTGTTATAGTGTGAAAGCAACCTGTTTTAGTTCACTTGTATTGCTATAACAGAAATACCTGAGACTGGGTAATTTATAAGGAAAAGAGGTTTATTTGGCTTACGATTCTGGGACAGCTGCATCTGGCATGGGCTTCAGGCTGCTTCTACTCATGGTGGAAAGTGGCAGGCAGCCGGCAGGTACAAGCAGATCACATGGCAAGAGGAAGCAAGAGGGAGAGAGAGAGAGAGAGAGAGAGAAGAGAAGAGGAGAGGAGAGGAGGTGCCAGGATCTTTTTAAACAACTAGCTCTTGCTGAAACAAATAGAGCGAGAAATCACTCATTAATCCCTCCACCCAAGGAGAGTATTAATCCATTCATGAGGGATCCACCCCCATGGCTCAAACAGCCTCCAGCACTGCCACATTGGGGATCAGATTTCAACATGAGTTTTGGTGGGGACAACACATCCAAACTCTATCACAACCTCAGGCAGTATTAGTTTTTTGTTGCTTATGACAGAATCGTGAAACTGGGTAATTTATAAGAAAATGAAACTTATTTCTCACAGTTTTGGAGGCTGGGAAGTCCAAGGTTAAGGGGGCACATCCAGTAAGGGCCTTCCTGGTGGGAACTCTCTGTAGAGTCAGCATAGGTATCACACTGCAACAGGGCAAGAGTATGTTAATGGGCTCACTTGCTCTCCTTATTAAGCCACCAGGACCCCTCCCGTGATAACCCACTCATCTGTTAATCTATGAGTGGTTTAATTCATTCATGAGGACATAGTCCTGACGATCCAGTCAACTTCCCAAAGGCCCCACCTCTCAACGCTGCCACACTGGGAAACAAGCTTCCTCATGAGCTTTGGAGGGGACAAGCATTCAGACCATAGCACAATACATAAATAAATGAATGTGGCGGTGTTTACTCATAAAAACAAAATTCTGTCATTTGTGAATATGGATGAACCTATGAACCTGGAAGACTTTATGCTAAGTGAAATGGGCCAGGCACAGAAAGGCAAATACTGCATGATCTCACTTACATGTAGAATCCAAAAAAGTTATAGAAGCAGAGAATAGAATGGTGGTTACCAGAGCCTGGGGGTGGGGGAGGGAATGGGGAGATGTTGGTCAAAGGGTACAAAGTTTCAATTAGGCAGGAGGAATATGTTTGGGAGATCTATTTTACAGCATGGTGACTACAGTTAATAATAATGTATGTTTGAAAATTGCCAAGAGAGTAGATCTCAAATGTTCTCACAACAAAATGATAAGTATGTGAGATGATGGACATGTTAATTAGGTTGATTTAACCATTTCATAATGTATACATATATTAAAACATCATGCAGTATACCATAAATATGTACAATTTTATTTGCCAACTATACCTTAATAAAGTAAATATTGACAGAGATTGTTGACAGAAAAAACAAAAACGAAAACAGACTGCTAGCTTGGAGGTAGTAGCCAACTTGTGATTTAGACTAATAAGAGTTTTAGAGATGGAGGAGCCTACACGCTCCTCAGTTCCTTTCTTCTAATTTTACAGGTGAGCTTGGTTAAAATTCTTAAATATATTTCACCACACAGTTGACAAAAAAATGTGTTTTACTTACAGCTTTTCGGGAACACATGTAATACCATAAAGAGATCCAGTATGCTGAGTATAGGATTTCTCATGGATCCAAATCTGAACTTGCCCCGGGGTCCAGCTTTCTCATCTCCATTTCCCCAAGTGTGGCATACCAGTGTTTTCTGTGTCAGGGACTTATTATTTGCACTGCTAAAGTATACTACAAACAGTACACTTTGGGTTTTCAGGCTGACCTCAGGGCTAATTGCTCATGCCTTTGAGACATTGTTAGGTGCATTGGTGGGCAGGGCCCTGTGTCTTAGGGACTGAGCCTTACTTAGCTTATCTGTTCTTGGGTCACCATAAGTGGAATATAAAAGGAGAGGGTTGGGCTAAGAGATCTTTCAGGGCAGTGTACCGCTGAACAGCTCCATAGGTTCTTTCTCTTTGTTGACTACTCTGCTGGTTGGTTCCTGTGCTAGATGTACCATCAGGGAAGTAAAAGAGCCTCGTTAATTGGAACATAGTGAGTGAAAGTGGAAATCAACATCTATCAAACAAATTGTACTGGCAAGAAAGGGGTTTATTTCCACCTTTTGGGAAATTTCTAAGCTAGAGATAAGGGACTCATTAGGCTAGAGAGCGGCAGGTATTCAGGCTCTAAGTTCTGTCCTAGTTCCAGACCTACAGTATGCTTTCTTCCTTGTGGGAAAAACTGAGTGCATTTTTCCTTCCATGCACCAAAACCCAAGAGAAGTTTCTGAGCAAGCGTATGGCTCCCTGGAGAATCTGCTGATCTAGTTATCCCATAAGGCAGGTCACCCCATTGCAGAGCTGTTGCGAAAGGGATGAGCCAAGGCCAATGAAACCTCTGTTCCATGAATTCTAAAAAGAAACAAAGAGAAAAGTAACACAAGAATTCACCAAAGGCTAATTTGTTTCTAGGACTCTAAAGTCAGATGTCTCAGGATGAAAAGTTGGTTGACTAGGTAACAATTTCAGACTCATTAAGAAATCTCTGCTTCCCCCAGCATCCCTAAAGGGTTTGAAGCCAAAAGCCGAAGTAGCAAAAATGATACAAAAGGGCGAGGCAGCCCAAAGGAGAAGACGCTGGACTGTGGTCAGATCGTCTGGGGTTTGGCCTTTAGCCCGTGGCCTTCTCCACCTAGCAGGAAGCTCTGGGCACGCCACCACCCCCAAGTGCCAGATGTCTCTTGCCTGATCCTTGCTACAGGACTCAACGATGGGCAGATCAAGATTTGGGAGGTGCAGACAGGTAGGTCCTGCCTGGCTGGCCCCAGGTCCTGGGAGGTTCACATGCATATGTGCATGTTCTGAGCAGCCCCTGCCCCCCGGTTGGCTGAGGGATGGAGCAGTGACTGGCAGACCTGCTGCCACCTCTCCCACTGACCTAGCTCCTGTTCCTACACCAGGGCTCCTGCTTTTGAATCTTTCGGGCCACCAAGATGTTGTGAGAGATCTGAGCTTCACACCCAGTGGCAGTTTAATCTTGGTCTCTGCATCACGGGATAAGACTCTTCGCATCTGGGACCTGAATAAACATGGTATGGAGGTGGTGGAATTAACTACTTGTCAACTCCAAAAGTACTGTGTTTGTCCTCTTTCTCTGCTTTACCAGTGTCATTTTTATCTAGAACAGTGTTTCTCAACCTTTTATCTGTTACTTCCTCCTAAGGAGCATTTTTAGACTTTTCCTAATTATCCCCCCCACCCCAATGATAAAGAGGTTTTTTTTTTTTTTTCCTTTTTGTCTTTTTTCGTGTCCGGCAACGGATCGCAACCCTCGGTGTTGCGCCTGCACCTCGCTCAGCCAGTGAGCGGGAACCAGTCTGTATGTGGGATCCGAACCCTTGGCGGGAGCGCAAGGTAGCAGTGCACCACCGGGCCGGCCCGATAAAGAGGTTTTAATACTAAAGTATATTCTGTATTTATGTACTGAATGTGTGTCTGTGGAAAAAGTAAGAGTTTTTTGGCCACCAAGAACCAATTTTCACCCCTGTGGGGTGATATTGCTCCTATTGTAAAGACATGATCTAGAACATGTTTTTCTCATCTTCAGCACTACTGACATTTTAGGTTGGATACTCCTTGTTGTGGGGTTGTCCTGTGCATTCTAGGATATTGAGCAGAACCCCTGGACTCTATTCATTGGATGCCAGTAGCACCATCTCCAGTTGTGACAACCAAAAATATCTCTAGACATTGCCCAATGTCCCCTGGAGGCAAAGTCTCCTCAGGTTGAGAACCACTGGTCTAGAAGAAGTCCCCGTTGGGTACTTCCTGTTAAAAATAAAAGGTTTCTTTGTCAGGAATCTATGCCTAGAGTAATTCTCTTAGCCTAGAGGGTGTCAGCTTTTATGGAATTCTGCCTTAGCAAACTATATACAGGAGTGGCCCAATAAAGATTTCTTAACTGGAGAGGTAACATAGGGATGGCAAATTTATTGCCATGCCATTTCTCCCTTGGGGGCTCAGGGGCTAGAAGGAATAAAAGGAGGAAATAGGAAAGGGACAGTTCATGAAGAGACACACCCATTTCCATAATAAAAAGGCACTGGTACTCCTGCCTAAGGCATGACTGTCCCAGCTCCCCACAATCCCAGGAAAAGACCTTTCTCCTGCCCTCTTAGAAATGAGCCTGATGGCTGTATCTTAGTCAGCATGGGCTGGTATAATAGATACCACAGACTGGGTGGATTAAACAACAAACATTTATTTCTCACAGTTCTAGAGGCTGGGAATTCCAAGATCAAGGTACCAGCAGGTTCGTTGTCTGGCAAGGGTCTGCTTCCTGGCTTGTAAACAGCTGCCTTCTCTCTTCTATATATTTATATATCCACACATACACATAAACTTCTTAAATTCATATAAATGACCATATACATTCTTATAAAGATGCTGTTTTCCTTCTTTATTCTTGCTTGGCTTTTTCCTTCCCCCTTCTCTCTCTCATGCACCCCCCATCTTCCCCTGTACCCTGGTAACTCTTGGTTTAGAGCCTAGTAACCCACACTCACATCCCATCTGTTTCTTCCATAATTTTCTCTATACTTGTATATTTTTATACACATGCACACGTTTACATTCATGGGTTTTGAGGTCTTTGTTTTACAAAAATGGAATCATATTCTTTACCTTTTTTCTGCATCTTGCTTTTTTTCATTAAACGGTACCCCATGGGAAATCTATATCTCTAATTCCATCTGCATTAGTGGCTGGATATATCACCATTTATTCACCCATCCCCTATGGGTGGGCATTTGGTTTTTTTCAAAAAACGAAGACCTGGAGCCTGTTGAGATTATGAGAGTCACCCTGGGTTATGTGCTGAGTAAGCAGCAGAGCCAGGATTCAAGTCCAAGTTGTGTGACTCCAGAGCGTATGCTTCTAATTACTCCACACCATTGCTCATCTGAACACCTTGGCAAGACTGGAAGGAGGGTGACAGTATGGAGCAGGGTCCATGTGACAACAGGGAAACCTTACAGAGTTTAAATGAGGGAGAATGGAAGAGAAACACTTTCAGAATTGGGAAAGATGCTTTAGAGTACTTGAGGTGGTTGGGGGACCTGAAAATAATGTACTCTGCTATCAGAGGTTACCTGTTCTGTGAACACCCATTGCCCTGCTGATCTTGGAGACTTTGGTGAAGCTGTAGGTAATGATTTCCCTTGGGCATTAGAATATTATATGACAGGTGTTTAAATGGAAATCCTGTCATTTTTCTTTCTCTGGATTAAAAAAGTGGGCCTTTGGGCTCAGCTGTTAGAGAACCCACAGATGTATCAGGTGATGGGCCGTTTCTACCAGTTCTCCAGTCTTGCTGCTTTGTTGTTTTAAGGGTTGGCTTACCGTTTGCTTCTTTCTTCTTCCAGGTAAACAAATTCAGGTGTTATCGGGCCACCTGCAGTGGGTTTACTGCTGCTCCATCTCCCCAGACTGCAGCATGCTTTGCTCTGCAGCTGGAGAGAAGTCGGTAAGCCGCCAGCATTGGCTGCCTTTTCCTCTGTTGCTTCAGGTCATTGAGACGTGGAGACCTGAAGCGGCAGCTTCATGTGTGTGGGTGAGGGTAAATAAACCAAGCGTCTTCAAAATCCATCTGCAGATTGGTCCCAACAGAAGGCACACTGGTGAGCTGTGGCCTCCTCCTGTATGACTCCATTGTTATTTGCATTTTGACATGAACTAAAAGAGGAGGTATTTGGAAGTAAGTCCCATCATCAGAGGGCTGTTTCCCTTTACAGAATAGTAAAGGGCCACTTTTTAAATTTCTTTCCCCCTTGGAGTCTAAGATTTTAAAAGTTGCAACCCACATGTGGACCTAAATTTCCTTTGAACTATCTAATTTGAATCTGTGTAACTGGGATTTCCAGTTCAAATCATGACATGTACAATTACTTGTTGAACTTTGTCCTGAAGTCCTGTCTGTTATTTGAAACCCAGGAACAATTTGGGAACGCTTTGTTTCAATTTTATACAGTATTTGCATTGAGCCATTCATGGGAAAGTTAAGAGTTCACTATTTGGAACAGCCCAGGTGGTTAATCATTCACTTGAGGTTTGAGACTATGTGAAAGTGAGAGTTTTCTTAAAGGAAAGAAAATAAAATCCTACTTTTAATGATTCTCAAAAATTTCAAGTAATGAGCTAGGTCAGAGGTACAGTCTTGGGACAGATTTCCATGGCTCTGAAAGCAAGGTGGAGGGGGTAAAGCTTGGCAGCGTGCCACTACTTTGTGGGCTGGCCCCAGAATTCACTTCTGACCCATTTTTGGTTTTGAGTGGAAAAAGATAGGACTTGGCTTAGGCCTTTGTTAGCATGTACTAGCCTGTTTGCAAACAAGGCTCAGAAGCTGAGCTCAGAAACTTCTACAGATACATTTCAGCTGGCCATCTTCTGAAGGTTGGCCTGGTTTGCTCTTCCTGAAAGTGAGCCCCTTGAACAGTTCATCAGTTAAATGCTTCAAGAATTTAGACCCATTACTTTATTTAAGCTTATAGGAATGGTTCTGGAAGGGTTGTATGAAAGGGGAACAGAGAACTCTGGCCTGACCTGGCCATGGGGTCTGAAGAGGGAGCTGCGGAGACTTTTACTGGTTGAGTCCTGAGCACTTTATTTCTGCCCCTAACCAGGTACCTGTTACTTTTCACAGGTCTTTCTATGGAGCATGCGGTCCTACACATTAATCCGGAAGCTAGAGGGCCACCAAAGCAGTGTTGTCTCTTGTGACTTCTCTCCTGACTCAGCCCTGCTTGTCACGGCTTCTTATGATACCAATGTGATTATGTGGGACCCCTACACTGGCGAAAGGCTGAGGTCACTCCAGTAAGGACTGAATCCCTGCTATGACTTTCTTATGGGGTGACACATGAGAAACCTGCCTGGGATTAGACATGTCCCTCTCAGTCAGGACATGGGAGGGACAACCTGGATAAAAAGGCACAGTGGGTTCAATGCTTATTAGTGTTCCATTGTTGACCAAGCTCTCTTAAAAAGCCCTGAGTATCTTCAAGTCTCCTGACATAGGAGGCTGTCTGTACTTTGGATTCAGCATTCTGAAACTTCAAAGTGACTCTTTATTTCCATTTACTAATAACTGTAGTAACAAGTTGAGAGTGATCCTCTTATTGAAACTATTATTTCCAAAATGAGTTTTCACATTCTCACAAACTTGTTCTACTTTTTCCCTTTGTCTGTCTTGTTTTATGAAGCAAATAATAGGTAGTCCTATAATTATCATGTGCCTTAGCCTGAAAAAGACTTTCAGTTTGTGCTATGGCATTAAAGTGAGGACTGACCTACTTTGCATAGGGAAATTAGCACAAGCAAGTGTTAGTAACCCTTCAGCCCCCTCCACAAGATACTTGGAGCCTTCTGAAATGTCCTTTTCTGCAGTCAGCAAATCCCAAGGTTTTCCAGAAGGGGCACAAGATGTGGCTTGAACCTTTTCATTGCCATGTCTCCTGCCTGAGAGTGAAGATGGAAGGTCGTGGGTGGAGGGCAGCCATCACTCCATGCCTGCTGACTTGCTTCTTTTCTTCTCAGCCACACCCAGGTCGACCCCACCATGGACGAAAGCGATGTCCATATTAGCTCACTCAGATCCGTATGCTTCTCTCCTGAAGGCTTGTACCTTGCCACAGTAGCAGATGACAGGTAACAAAGAGAAATCTCTTGATTCAGCCTCAGAGCAAGTGTTTGCAAGCAGTGGCAGCGTTACCCATAGTCTGGCCGCAGGTCAGCTGTGTGAATGTACCTCCCTCTCTCTCTCATCCAGACTCCTCAGGATCTGGGCCCTGGAACTGAAAACTCCAATTGCATTTGCTCCTATGACCAATGGTCTTTGCTGCACGTTTTTTCCACATGGTGGAGTTATTGCTACAGGGTACGTATCTGTTAGCTGAACAGATGGGTTAACAATTTCTGCTGTGTATACCATGTAGCTTTTTAAGGAAACAAAGCATCTAGAATTTTCTTGCCTATGAGGAAAGCTTTAAGGAAATCCAAGATTATATAAAATTCAAATGTTCTGTTCTGCCAATATAGTGTATCATTTACTGGTTATTTTTTTGTTTTTTTGGGTTTTTTTTTTTGGCAGCTGGTTGGTACAAAGATCAAAACCTGGACCTTGGTGTTATCAGCACTACGCTCTAACCAACTGAGCTAACCGGCCAGTCTGATGTACTCTTAATATTTAACCTAAATGTAATTAAAGATCGACAGTTCTTGCCACGTGATGGGCTAAGTCAACAAGCATAAAATAAGATGATGCAGAATTTATATGGGGAATCATGTAGGGCTGAGAGACCATCTTACAGATAACGTCTGTAATTTAATAAGTGGCAGTAGGTCAGATTAAGAAAGGGCTGTGCTGACAGAGATAGCACTTTGGTACCAAAGGTGTCTCGAGTGATAATCCTATCAGCAGCCTTACTTGTACAGCATCAGGGATTTTACATCCATTTCCATGGTTAGGGTTGCATTTCACTATCTGGAATCTCTTGCTATTTCAAGTCCAAGCAGACACGTTAATATCCATCATAATGAAAACATACACTTCCAAGGTCTGTCTTAATGCAGCATTGGTTTCTGTTCCATTTCAGGACAAGAGATGGCCACGTCCAGTTCTGGACAGCTCCTAGGGTCCTGTCCTCACTGAAGCACTTATGCCGGAAAGCCCTTCGAAGTTTCCTAACAACTTATCAAGTCCTAGCACTGCCAATCCCCAAGAAAATGAAAGAGTTCCTCACATACAGGACTTTTTAAGCACTGCTACATATCTCATTTTCTTTATAGCGGGATAAATCTTCCCGGCAAAGGAGTGGCTGGAATCCATGGGCCAAACATCTAGTCTCAGATTGAAATAGAATTTCTTTGGGATTGTGAATAGAATGTAGCAAAACCAGATTCCAGTGGACTAGTCGTGGATCTTTTTCTCAAGTCAGTCTTAGAGGAGGAGATTCCACTTCCATGGCAACAGAGCCTTACCTTAAATCTTCAGTCCACTTATGAACAGCAGATATTGAACTCTTTCTACTCGTTTTGATTCAAAGTGCAGTTATTGATGTTTTGATAATAAAAGTAAGTAGCCTCCACCTCTTTGGTGGCAAAAAGTTCACACTCCCTCACTGGGGAGTATGACTTCAGCCTAGTACCCATCAACCTTGTGTATCAGGTGGAGTGTGGCATTGTTTAAAGTTTGCTCCTCCCGCGGTCAGAGTTGCTTTGATGTTGGAAAATGCTTTCTTTCCTTGGGGCACCCCTCTGACCAGCAGGACAAAGTTTTCACGGAGCTGTTTGGTTTGAGGTATTAAATTTAACTAAATTATAGGAGAATCAGAGGCTGTACTCCTGACTGATACAGACACTATTACTGGCTTTTTTTTTTTTTTTTTTAAATGGTGTGCATGTGGAGGAGATGACAAATTTGTGTGTCAGATTATACAAGGATGTATTCCTAAACTGCATGATTGCTCAAATGGCTACTGAGTTGTCAGTTGCCTTTTATTAGCATCATATTTATTTGTATTTTCTCAACAGATGTTAAGGTACAACTGTGTTTTTCTTGATATCTAAAAATCATAGTACTTAAATTGAACAGTTGCAAAGATGTGTCTTAATTGTGTAAAGAATTAGTGTTGTCATCACTTCAGCTGATACTCATATTTGAGATCTGTGTTTGCTGCTTAATCTCCTTGGATTAATCAGCCAGTTTCAACCCTATCCCTAAACAAAAATAGCTCCTTAAAAGTACTGTTCTTCTTCAGTGGCATGTAATTATTTAATCAAGACACCTCATTTAAGGAAAAATCTGCCTTAGGAAAATTTAATATATTTTAAGTTATTTTAAAAGAAATGCAACATCTTATTCTTTAGCTTTCTTAATCGGTGCTTTATGGAGGCCAGTATAACATTATACAACTTGTTGAGAAAGTAGAGGAATCTCCTCTACCACCTTTGTGGCTGGAAGAAAAACATTTCTTTTCAAAACAAGAGGCTTTCATTGAAGGAAAAAAAATAGTTTAAAAGCTTTTCGCTTTCTGTTTCATTTTTTCCATTAGGAAAAAGAAAATCACCTTTTAAAATGAAAGAGCTAGGAATGGATTGGCCAACTTTTTAATTTTATGGTTATCTTGAAATGTCATATACAGGAGAGTCTAAGAGGCTCTACAAAGTTCCTTTGAGGCCCTGCTTGGCCAGTAACTTCAGACTTTGCTGGTGTCCTTGGGGAGCGAGTCCTTTGTGAATGAAGGAAATAACCAACTTCTCTCTTTTTGACAGTATAAAAATTTGACACCTTTATAAAAAATAGCCCCCAAAGAAAGTTTATTCTGTGATACCAGAGACAGAAGACTTTAATATAAATGCAAGTTGGACAACTCAGCATCTTTATAACTAAGGAAAGAAGAGTCACTCGTAACAACCAGCAAGCAAGCTGCTTTATTTTTATTGTGAAGAACACTAACATAAATGCAGCATAACTGCTGTAAAATAAACTGCTAAATTTGTACAAAAGTCCCAATCCTTTACACAGTTCTAGGTTTAGAGTCAGGTTTAATCTCACCTTTCTTCCCTACATTAAACAAGTTGAGTTTTATACAACCTTTGTCCCCCAATGGCATTAATTTAAAGGTTAGCTCTACATTATATTTAAAATAAATATCTTTTCCTACTGTCTACACAATTTAGAACCTCCTGGTAACTCTTCTACTTCAAGAAGGTAAATAAAAAAACCAGTTTTTAAAGTAAGAATGCAGTCTGTTTTGTAAGAGTGTAGTAGTTTTGGCCAGAAATCCATTTACACCTATTTAAAGTAAATACAGAGACAGTGCCAAAGATTAAATTCATAAACTTAATTTTGGAGATGTTGTTTACCTTGAGTTTGAAGACACTTGGACTGTGTTAGATTTGAAAGCCTTATATCCCAGACCAAAATGGAGTAGGCCAGTTTCCTGTCATCTAAGCAACTGAAGGGTAAAAGCCTTAAGGCAGGAAAAAAGGTTACGTTTTTTCCTATAAAAGACAGAAGTGTAATAAGATAGTTATACATTAAAATTGTGTACGTTCCTGCTCCAAAATAGCCACTAACACGGTGCTTTTAAACATCTGCCCACCCATGCCTGGAACAGGGTTTTTTAAGACTTGGGGTGACTGTGGCTTCATCCCACGGCCCCAGCTAGCAGTTCATCCCAAAACTGAGTCCTCTGTTCTTCGGTCACAGCTGGGCCCTGAGAATTGCAGTGAATGGGCCTTGGTGTGTCTAGGCCTCTGCGACAATCAGGTCTCTGGTGACTTGAAAAGCAGCAATGAGAGAACTCAGCTGAATCTTCTCACTGGTGCCGACAGAAAGTCTGTACCTAAAAGAAATCAAACAAAAGGTAAGAAAAAGGAATATCACAGACAGCTGCCTTTTGGTAAGAGAACAAAAGATCAAAGGCTGGAAATCTGCTGATGAAAGTTGATAAAAATTTACCCTGGACAGCAGTGTTGGATGTGTCCCTCTAACATTTTCTTCTCTGCCTTAAACAGTTTATAAATTTGATTCAAACTGGTGAGGACAAATTAAATTTTCAAAATGTTTATCATCAGCAGTGTTCTCTACTTAACTTTGTCCTAACTATATAAATATGCATAATTTATGTGATTAAGGATTTTTCTTCATCTGCAAAATACATTAAGAGGTAATTAAAATTTCTTCCCCTTAAGACATTTCACCAGGAAGTTTGGTTGACATATCTGTGGGTCTGGGGTCTAGTTAGTAAAGCAGGACATTGGCAGTTCATCTTGCCACCTGTGAAGTGCCCAGCCATTGAAAGCAAAAAGACCGATTATATTCACAGTGTAGCAATAAGTGATCTAATTGTTCATGTGAAAGCCAATGACGACAAATTAGAGTTGGTCAATGCGTATGTCTATTTGAACCTGATGCTCTGTCTATTTAAATTATAGCTGTCAGCTTCACTGGGGGCTAATAACAGTGTTTACTGAACAAGGCAAAGTGGAAAATTGAGTTTGTTTACTTTTCCTCCCAGTATACATTAGTATGCCAAAATGCCTTATTAACAGCTGGACAGCTGGTCATCCCAAATGACCTAGAAGTTTGGACTAAAGCAGGCCTTTTGCAGTCCTCCCAAATACCAAGAGTGTTTTCAGAACCAATGTGGGCCAAGCCTCTGAGATCTAAAGAGAGGTCTTTATCTCATATACATAACTGATCTGTACTTGTCCTGGTGTTTATTCCTATGTTCTTTAAATAAGGAACTCACACCCTTCCCCACATTCCATTCAATACCCCCGAAAGTAAATTATACCACATATAAGCAATTTAAACCTAAAAAAAAAAAAAAAAAAAAAAAAAAAAAAAAAAAAAAAAATTAAAAGGGGGAAAAAAAAGTTTTGTGTAAATACTCACTCAATGTCTGCCATTTTGGTCAATAAATGTATTCGAACTGAAGATGGGAAGTCAACTGATGGAAAAACAAAATCAAATGAGTGAGGTCTGTCATTCCCTACTATCAGAAAAACAGAGGACAAGTATGAGTTTAAAAATCCAATAGATGCGGCTGGCCTGTGGCTCACTTGGGAGAGTGTGGTGCTGATAACACTAAGGCCATGGATTTGGATCCCTACATAGGGATGGCCGGTTAGCTCACTGGGTGAGCGAGATGTGGACAACACCAAGCCAAGGGTTAAGATCCCCTTACCAGTCATCTTTGGGAGAAAAAAAAAAAATTCTATACATAACACTGAACTACTCCTGAGGCCTCAGACTGATCACTAGATACCACACCTCTAAGGAGAGTAAAAATGGTGTAGGCTTCACATTTTTAACCTGCTCTATTTTGTGATTATCCATAGTGTAGCCAAAAAAAAAAAAAAAAAAGATTCCAAAATGATCCTAAGAACATGGAAGTGTCGTCAGTACTGCTCTTAGCCATTGGAATTGGGTAGCTCTACAAGTGAACTTGAAAGCTGAGTTCTTACTTGCTGTCCCAATTTAAAAAACAAACACAATTGATTTAAAGTTGGTTCGCACTCAGCTTTCACAGTCAAGGTGCAGAGGCAGGCTTGAGAGGACCATTTCTTGGCCAGAACTGAACACGCTGGCCAGCCAAGAAGAGGCCTGCAAAGGCCGGGGCAGAACCGACATTCATTGACCTGATTAAGTCTCAGTCTGCAGTTGGCCACTGTGGAGGGAAGAGCTTCTCCAAAAGGCTATGCAAACAATCACTTGGGGGGAGGGGGGGAGCTTGAAAAAGTGCTGATGCCTGGTTCTCCCTGAGTGGCTGACTTAGTTGGTTTGAGGTGATTCCTATGTGCCACCAATGCTGCAAACCAATTCTCTTTATAAAAGGTATGAGCAAGTGTAGAACTTAATACAGTTTCCTTAAGAGTCTTTTTTTATATGAAGAGATATCTTCACCTTCTTTCCTTGAGGGGAAAATATATTTTTCAAAAATGTGAATTAAAATACACTACTTATTGCTATAAAATACAAATCCCTGGAGGAGATAAAGTTAGATTTCAGGAATTTCTTTCCACTCTCCCCAGCAGTTCCAGAGATTAAAAGAGGATTTTTTTTTTTTAACTTTGATGAAATTCTGATTTTAATGCATATATGAAAACCCACTGAAAACCAGCATTGGAGAAAATGTCCAGAAACAACACTATAAAACTTATGTAAAACACAGTGATACGGGCTGGCCCGTGGCTCACTCGGTAGAGTGCGGTGCTGATAACACCAAGGCCCCGGGTTCGGATCCCATATAGGGATGGCCGGTTTGCTCCGTAATAACTTCGTATAGCATACATTATACGAAGTTATCGTGATGAAATTCTGATTTTAATGCATATATGAAAACCCACTGAAAACCAGCATTGGAGAAAATGTCCAGAAACAACACTATAAAACTTATGTAAAACACAGTGATACGGGCTGGCCCGTGGCTCACTCGGTAGAGTGCGGTGCTGATAACACCAAGGCCCCGGGTTCGGATCCCACATAGGGATGGCCGGTTCGCTCACTGGCTGAGCGTGGTGCTGACAACACCAAGTCAAGGGTTAAGATCCCCTTACCGGTCATCTTTTTTTAAAAAAAAAAAATAATAAAATAAAACAGTGATACATCATTTCTAGTTCAAAATTTAGTTTAATTCACTGAAATGTAGCTGCTGAAATGGCATCTCTCATCTACCATATGCTGAAATTCTGATTTTTTATTTATTGAAACAAATGATTGTATGTATCTGTGGGGTACAGCATTGAATATCAATACCTGTGTGCAATATGTGATGTAAAAGGATTTCTGGAACAAAGTTTGAAACGGCAACAATACAGAACTGCTAAAAAGAAGGGGTCAGATTTATACTTCATTACTGTTTCTTTGCTTCAAGAATGAAGCCTCATATTCTCTTTCTAACCATCCTTAACCTCAAAGCATGCCACCTTTTCCACAGCCTCTTAGCTAGGGAACAGTGTAAGTTACCTCTGTGCACAAACAGGTGGACCTCCGTCAGGATGTCGTGCAATGCCAACCCCTTCAGAGTTTTCAACTCCATAATATCTAGAGGAGCAGTTAAGGCAAAGGGAGCACGTTCCAGAACAAACACACTACAGAGAATTCTGAATCCAAACCCTGGCAAGTACCTTGTTAATGTAGGGCTTTTAATCCCAACACAGCTGTGTCTTTCAACTTGAAGTTGTACGTATTGGACCCCAATTCTTATTTTTCTTAGGTTTCATTTTCAATAAGGGCTCTCTCAGAGATATAGTTGTATCTCCTTCTAGTAGAGAATAGAGCCAAATGCATTCCTAAATAGGCTTCAGATTACTAATCCTAGCTTTTAATTTCA